CCCCAAAACCCCAAAACCCCATCATCCCTTAATAGTCTAGATTAAAAATAATTCATTAAAATATCTATATTAGTTCAATTCTATTTCTACAATACAGCACTTCTTGTGAGTAAATTAGAGTTACCACCTTATCTTACACTTTAGATAAACTAATCCTCTTTAAATCCAACAGGGTTTACACTCCTACGCTTTTCCTCAAGTCTTAACTTAAGCTACTCTTTAAATAAATCTTCTTCAAGAGCATCTAGTTAATCGCCAAGATTTTCACTAAAATCTATTTAATCAATTTATGGGTTGAATTTATCAGTCTTAAGTACTATCAAAATTGCCTTCTAGCTTAAAATATTATAAAATTCATATGACTGCTGGCTGTACTTTCTAATTATATACAAACCATTTTTATAATAACCAATATCCCAAATAGTCCCACGCATTGTTAAATTAGTTATCCGAAAATCTTTATCATTTATTTGCTTTTAATCAGTTAGGTTGATAAAATTATTAACCACAAGAGTAGAGTTTTTATCATAGGTGGCAATAACTAATATTTCTTTAGTTTTTTCTCCAGTTTAAGTTTTTATCTCATTATACACTAGAACTTCTGGATTACCATCTTGCTCATTTAATGTGAAATTTTTCAATACTTTTCTTTTATCAATGATTTGATTTTCATAAGACTGCCCTCCAAATATTTCAATGTCAAGAGCAATGAAAACATTTTGATTGAACTTATTAATTCTCTCTTTCAGTTACACCTACATGTTATCCCATCTATCTTCTAATGAATCATATCTTTCAATAGTTGTATTTAAGTTTGAATCGAAACAACCACCAAAAGCATATATAAAATGACTTGACTCGTGAGAAAATACACTGAAATCAGTTCGCTCAAAAGACATAGAAGCTGCTCTTGTCCATTAATTTTTATCGAAGTCATAAGATTCAGTTGACTTAACAACTGTTTTATTTAAAGAGAATCCTCCAATTGCAAATATTCTATGCTAGCAAAGACATAATGCATGCTTATATCTAGGTATTTCCATAGGCTTAGCTTAATTGAGAAAATTTTTTCATGTATTAAAGATGAAACTATACTATACTGGCTCCCCTGAATCATTTTTACGCAGACCACCGGTATACATTAAAGTTCCATTTTTGCAATCTACCCAAGATGGAAATTTGAATAGAAGGTATTTATCTAGTTTATATGGCTTGACGAAATTCATTTCAAGATCAAATCTAAATATCACATCTTCATTCATTAGACAAATTACACTTGCAGCTTTTTCCCTAATAGAAGGAAGCACACTATAATAATCCATAACTTTTTCATAAGTTTGCACATCAGCCACTCCGCTTATTCCATAAGGTTTATCAGCTGGTTTTCCCACATCACTCTCTGTGTTATTTTTCTTTGTCAAATTTATATTCCTTGTTCTATCATGCTAAGCAAATCCAAACATGCTTTCAAGTTGCTTTTCCTTAATTGTTACTGTGCACTATTCAATAGGATCAAGATCAGTGAAATTTCGACTCAATAAATCTCCGTTCATACTTTTTACCAGACTGTTTACTCCAAATCACCTATTTTCTTATTATCTGCTTCTAGCTCTATTTAATATTGTCATTTACCCTCTTGAAGTTTCATTAATTATACTCTACATTAACGTAGTCCTTGACTCAATCTAATCAAGAAGTTTATCAAATGTGTCTTTATTTATTGGATGAGCTTTAACTTCAGACAAGTTATCATTAAGAATTTTCTTCTATTTCATCCCAGGGGATTTCATGGCAACATTCGACATCCAGTAACCAATATCTTTTTGCCCTTCATCTTTTTCTATTTAATCAATAAAATGTTCAGCAGTTTAACCATTGAGGTTATCTCTTACAGCTGAAATGACAGCGTTGTATTTTTTAACTGCTTTACTAGCTACTTACTCATCATCATCGTCATCATCCTTGAATTCTTAGTCACCATTATTTTATGTAAAATCATTTCTATTTTTGCCGAATCTAGTATTGATAATATTTAGTCTTCTTTTCAGATTCTTGATTCTATTTTCAGCATTTTTTTTCCTTTCCTCAATTTATTTTCTCATGATCTCTTGTTCTTTTTCTAAAAGCTATATCTCTAATTTAAGCTCCTCCTCTCTTTGTCTTTCAGTTTATGCGGCTAATTGTTCTCTTGATTATCGTAGGTCTATCAACTTCTTTTCAAGCTGTGTTACTTTTTGTTAATTCTCTTCTTCAGTTTCTGGCAAAAATTTTTATTATCTTGGAGATTAATAATCAATTACATTATCTAATTCGATTAAAGATGATTTAAATTCTCATCCTTCATTTTACACTATTTCCTTCTTCTTATCCTTAAATTTCATCTAATAATAGAATTCCAGCTCTTTGGTAACCTCTGTAAAAAGTTTATTGTCATATTGATTTTTTGCAATTGCTTCTTTAATTTTTAAAAGACTTCCTTAAAGCTTTTAATCACCAACTCTTTCTTTAAGCACTTTTTCCATTGCATATGGATTATCAATTAGTTCTTAGAACTTCATAAGTTGGTCCCTATCAGTGTCTAAATAGTAAAGTTACCCATTTATTATTCCATATTTATTTTTAATTATGGTTTCCTTCATAGCTTGAAAGTCAAAGTCCTTGGTGCTAGCATCATCATCTTTACCCTTGAAGAATTTTTTCTCAATCTCTCCTTAATTTCTAATTTCAAGTTCATTAATAATAACGCTCTCAATTTTCTTTGTTTTTTTCTACTTTGATTCTTCTAATACTCTCTCTATTCTCTATTAAATACCAGTCATAGATGACTTCTTTGGACCATCAGTCTACTTAACTGGAGCGGTAGAATTAAGAGCTTTTGCAAATGACCTTTAAATCTAAAGGTTTGGTCCTTTTTTAAATATTGATCCATTTTTTTAGAATAAGTCTGGTAATTTAGTTATAGTTCCATCATCTTCTTGTGTTGGTCTCTAAGTATTAAAGCCAGATAGTCTTAATGAGAATTTGCTAGGTTATGCAAATGATTTTATCATACTTTATCTATCAGAGTGTGCGCCGCTTTAAGGAGGAGCTTGCTCTAGTTACTTACTATCCTCAGATTAGTATCATTCTCTATCTTTTAATGGAGAATCCAAAGACTAAACATCTATTTTTGGAAGTTTAAGTTCAGGTATTTGAATATTGAGTTTTTTCTTAAGCTCTTATTTCTTTTCCAATGGTTGAGCTTTAATGAATCCCTCTTGATTATCAGGGACTTAAGGAGGTGGTTGCATTATAACTTAGGATTGAGATTGAGCAGGTTGCACCAAGTTAATTCTATTTTATTACTACTTTGCAAATTGACTATCATTTTCTACTCTTTCAAGATAATTAGGTTTATATGCTGGTCTTTTCTCAACATGAAACTTTACATCTGAATTAGGGAGTATCATTACACTCCCATCATCAATTCTAAGTTAACTATTGAAAAAATCTGATTCATAGGAGTCGTCCAAATTCTTTTTCAATACAGATTTCACTCTGTCTTTTGTTCTTCTATGGCTTGCATCTAGTTACTCTGGCTGCTGGATAGGTTCGTCCTTCATAATCTCAAGGACCTGATTTTTGTGTTCTTAGATGTCAACCTTCTTCTTTCTTCTTTGAGTTAGAGGCTTCTGTTCTTGCATTACTTAATTAATGATATATTCTAATACTTTATCTATAATTCAAGAATATTAATCATTTTGTATTAAAGGGGTTTTGGGGTTTTGGGGAGATCGGAAGAGCACACGTCT